CCGGGGGCTTAAGTGGAGAGCAAATGTTTTGAGAATGATGAGGGCAATGAATGTACAAATGTGCTTTACACAATTGATGTATGTATGGATTGTGATAAAAGTTGTATGAGCCCCTAATAAAACGATGAAAAAAAGATCAAAATTAAAAAATCAAAATCAAACAAAACAAAAACAATCCATCCATCAATTGTATGAAGCATATTTATATATCTGTTCCTGCCATTATCTTCTAAGCATTTACAGTCTATTTGAGCCCTTGGTATCAGCTCCTCTTTTTACTGCCCCGTCTGTGGATTGAATGTTGGGCATGTTTCCCAATGGCATGCTGCCCCTACTTGGTTCACCCACCAATAGAAGTGGAGTTGCCTTCTCCAAGACAGACCTGCTCCCTGCCACTCTGCCCTCCACCGCCCACTGCTCTTGACTTAGGTTTCCAGTCAGGTTCACGAGTGACTCTCGTAGGTGTGTCTTGTGAGTTCGGGGCGACCGTGGAACAATATTATGTGGCAGGAAGTGATTGATCTTCTCCTCCCCTCCACAATGGGAAACAGGCCCAGCCAAGGGCAGGCCTCCTCTGGCGCAGGTTTGTAAGATGCACAAAGAAGGGGGTGAGAAATGGTTCGTGAACACTAGGCAGGCACACTGCCGTGTTGCTGGGCAGCCTGGATGAGGGGATCTGAGGACAAAGCTGAGGCTGCATACTTTGTCCAGACACAGTCTTGGAATCCTAGGGAGCGGTTCCACCTTGTCCTACAGAGTCACTGTGAGTTGGAAGCGACCCAACGGCAGTGGGTTTATTGAGCGTCTACTAGGCACTAAAGAGACATTAAAGGAGACTTGGTGGCACACTAGTGAAGCACTTGACTGTCCAACACATGCGCGGATTGAACTGAGCAACAACCCTGCTGGGGAGATGTGTTTGCCGGGGTGCTTTAGAGAAACAGATCCACAGAAACTCATGTATAAGAGAGAGAGTTTTATATAAAGGGTAAGTGTGCATCAAGAAAACATCCCAATCCAGTGCTGCCCAAGCTCACAAGTCCAACATTAACCCATTAACCCATATGTCTAACACCAATCCACAAAGTCCTCCTCCATCTCACAAAACACACGCAATGACGCCGACTGCAGGAGGAAAGCCGAGTCAGTGAACGTGTAAGCATCTCAGCACTAGCAGGGGTCTCCGCACGGCTGCTCCAGCACCCAGGGCTGCATCGGGGTTGGTCCATGTAGCTTCTCCTCAGGGATGTCTTGCAGGAAGTCAGCCTTGCAAGCTGAAGCAGGGAACTGCTAAGGCAGCTGCACCCTGGTCTAACCATCACAAAGCAAGAGACCTGAGAATTAGAACGGCGAGACTCACCGATTGATCCCTCCGCCCTTCAATTAACCCCACCTGTGTTCATCGGCCAGGTTGGCACAATAAACTACCTACCTCAGGAGACAAGACTGGGCAGTCTGCTCCATGAAGAGTCAGCCTAGGAGGCTCTATAGGGGTCACACACTGTGGCCATGACTCAATGACACACAACCATAACAAGAAGAACGGGGCTCTTGGTGACCCAGGGGTAACATTGTCACCATCCATGCAGAGACCTGGGCTCAATTCCTGGTCTCTGGTCTGCGTGGTCAGCCACCATCAGTGGAGGCTTGCGTGTTGCTACGAAGCAGAATGGGTTTCTGCAGAGCTTCCAGCCTGAGCTGCATTAGGAACAAAGGCCTGGCGATCTAATTCTGAATCTCAGTCACTGAACAAACCCTGTGAATCACACGAGTGTGAACCCCAACTAACTGTGGGGCTGGCCTGCAACCGGGGCACTGTTCTGACCCATTGTGTGTGGGGTTGACATAAGAGGGGTCAACTTGACGGCCTCTTAGAGCAGGAACAGCCACAAGAATGCCGCACCTCCGAGGAGCTCCGAGGACACGGTGTCCTGTGTTGCATGGGAGATTTGACTGCGGAAATGCAGACTTTCAATGAATGTTTTCAGAAGCCATCTCAACGCTGAGCGCCCCCGATGGTGGGCAAGTACACATCCAGCACCCTTTCCCTTCCAGCTTGCCAGGAACCTGGCCTCAAGGTGAGCTTCCTGTCTCCAGTCCTGGCCAACCTTAGAACCCATCCTCTGACTTTGACCAGGTGCTGACTAAGGGCTTTGGGATGTCCCCATTGCCCTGGCTGGGTGGTATGCTCTGACGCCATCCTGGCCTTGATGTTGCAATTCAGAAATCCAAACCTCACTGTGGGCCCCCCTCCCCTCTGCCAATGTTTACTCTGACCGCTGGCAGCAGAGGTGGCTGATCCTGTGGGCCTCATGTTGGTTGGTGAACCCATCACCCCAGGCTGAGCTGGAGTGGGGGACGGGTTCAGCAGACAGAGGAGTTTGACTTGATTTAGTTGTAAGCCCTGAGCTTTGAGAGCAAAGAGGATGGGGAGAAATTCCTGGAGCAAGTAACTTGGACTCACTGTCCAGAGCTGGGACTAAAGCAGGCAGTGCTGCCCCCTGTGGAGTGGCAAGGGCAGGACAGCACCTGGGGCAGAGCTCCCACCCTCCCCCGCCTTGCAGCCTCTGCCTGGACGCGTGGGGCAAGGTGGGTCAGTGCACAAATGAAGGCGCTTCGATCGAAGCAATAGAAACCCAGACCTGCCAACTCGGCCGGTTTGCACTGCCCCCTGTGCAAATCACAGGGGCATAAAACAACAGGCATATCAAGAACTGAAAAGACTAAGTGGGCTGCTAAGCCTGGAGACAGTAGGGCCAGGGATCAGGGCAACTCCAAGGACATTTGTGCAGGGGTTCCCAGGCCTCGTTCGTTGGGGTGCTGCCAGGAACCCACTCGTCTGTGCCCCTCAGACCCACATTTCTTATTTCTGGGAGGCAGAGTCTGATCTATCATTTGGGTCAGGGGGCCACTTTGGGGTCCGTTGGCCTAGGCTGGTGGGAGGAGCCCTGATGTCGCAGTGGGTTAAGCTAATCCGAAGGTCAGCGAGTGGAACCTGCCAGCCTCCCTTCTGCGGGAGGAACGGGAGGCGATATGCTTTTGTAAACGTGTACTGCCTTGGAAATGCCCCCGGGGGCAGTTCGACTCTGTCCTGTCAGGTCACTGTGAATTGGGACCAACTGGACGACCGAGGGTGTGGGGAAGGATTAGCAGTGTGGTCATTGGGGGCAGTCACAGTCGCTTTGCCAAAAGCCAAGCCACTCAACGGCCAGTTTCCAAAAGGAGCATTTCATCACATTTACTTGTTTCTCTTAATCACGTGGCTCTCACAGGTGTTCTGCCTTTATAACAGCATTCCTGGGAATGTTCTGTTTGGTCCGAACGGACTTCCTGCTGTTGAGCTAGAGACAGAGGGGTGGAGAGAGGCGAGATGGAGCATGTGTGGCTGGCCTTGGTGTCAGGGAAACCCTCAAGCCTTCCACCTTGGCTAGTCTCAGGTCAATGTGGAGAAGCCCTGAAAAACAGAGGAATGAATGTCTTCCAACCTAGCAGAGAGGGAGCAGGAAGTTAGGAACCTGGGGGTTAGAGTTTTGGCCTGGGAGGCAACGCTAACTTGTCCAATGCCTTTTTCCTGCCCTGCCAGGCGGAGTGTGGGAGCTGGGAGCACCAGCTCTCCCTTTGTTTTATGCCCCCGCTGTACCTACCCATGCCACCCTGAGGAAGACCTCCTAGCAGGGGTGTAGCAGAGCCCCAGCAACAGACACACTAATGATTGACATGAATGCTTGCAGCCTCATTCCCATACTGGCCTGCTAAGAAAACGCTATGCTGCTTCCCGAGTAATCCCTGGGGGAAAGCTCTTAAGATTGATCCTAGTAAAGAGAAGGGAAATGGGAAGAGAAGTAGATCCAGAAAAGGGATACGGTGGGAAGGAAATGTCAAGATTTCTGGATAAAGACCCAGGGGCCAGAGAGAGGCCGCCTATTTGCCTATTTAAAATGGCAGCGGACTGCTGAAAGGGAGCCCTGGTGGTGGTTATGTGTGGGGTTCTGATCCACAAGGGTGGCGGTTCAAAACCACCAGCAGCTCTGAGGGAGAAAGATGAGGCTTTCTACTCCAGGGAAGAGTCCCCATCTTGGAAACACACAGTAGTTTGACCCGATCCTGAAGGGTCGTGATGAGTCAGTATTGACACGATGGGGGTGAGTTTGTTTTTTGGTTTGCTGGGCTACTGTGGTGGGCGAGTGGCGAGCAGAAAGATGTAAAAGATGTCTTTGTGCACCTTCAGAGTGTGTACCCTGCCCCTCGGCTCCCTGCCACCTTTGGCATTTCCTCCAGAGATTGAGAAAGTATTCAAAAATAGTTTATTGACTTTTTTTTAATTGACTTTTTAAAAAGAAAAATCACAGACCTGTTTCTTTGACTGCATCGCAAGGCTGCCCACGTTTTGATAGGGCTACACATTTCTTCCCCAGTCCCAGGCTTCTGTGGAGGCCTGCTCTTCACGGAGAGCTGGAGAGCTGGAGAGCTGGCGCTGCCGCTCCCCTGGCCTAGTGATGTCGGTCAGGCCAGGCTCCTGGGGGGCAGCAGAGGTAGCTTCTTGATGTACTCTTGGACCCAATCGTCACCGGGGTTAGCGCAGATCTCTCGGTTCTTTTTGGTGACGAAGCTGTGGAGGCAGAATTAGACTACCATGGGCCACAAGAAGTCTGGGGTCCATTTGCCCCCAACTCTTGCTCATGTCGGGTACACATCTTAGATGGTTACAGCTCCCCTTGACCTTCCCGGTCTGGGTCCTCTCTGAAGGTCTTCCTCTCTGGCCGATAGACCTTGCCACCCCCTCTGCTCTCTTTCCCCACTCAGCCTCGCCTCTCCAGGCTTGGGCTTCATTATGGACACCATTTAGTGGGCTCTGCAGCTGTAAGTGGCAAACGCGGGCATGGAACCCAGCCCCTGAGATTCAAAGATTGAGTTCTCCGTCACTCCCCTACCACGTCCAGCACGAAGACCTCTTTCTTGGTTCTGAGCCACCCATTCCTCCCTCCGGGGCTCCCCTCCCCTCTTCACAGGGATGGGCTTACATGATTGATGGCAGGGGACAGCTGAGGGCCTTTATGTATCCCGCCACCAGTTTCCTGGGCAACACTTTCTCCGTGTGCTTCAGGCAGCAGGAGGGTGGGGGGTTGGCCGACTCCGGAATTCCTGAGGGAAACACAAAGGAAATGGAGCCAAGGAGGCAGTGAGGGAGCCCGTGTGTCCCCTTCCTCTGACAGCTCGGCCATCGGTTGGGAAGGACAGACTGTCGTTTGATGGGGCAAGCCTCCGGGCTGAGTTTCATCACGGACCAATGACTCGGTTATTCACATTCGCTGTGAGCCAGGAGGCAGTCGGCCCGCACTCTTGCTTAATCACCCCTTCCGTTAGCAGGCACGCACGGAACCGTATTCCCCACCGAGGTCCAGGGAAATAGATCCACACAAGAGACCCAGCCCATGTCCTGGAGGGGCTTCAGGTGAGATTCAAGGTCAAAAGAGAACAGGAGACGACGTCGCAGCAGTAGCACGCAGTCCACGATGGCAATGGGATAGACTGAAGGGAAGCAGCATGAGGGGCCCGAGACCCCGCACTGGGAAGCTTGAGAAAGAAACCTCCAGACAGGTGGTCCTGGAGCTGGTGCTTGAAGGAGCGAGAAGAGTTGCAGGGCTTGGAAGAAAGAAATATTCAAAGGCCTGGAGCTCGGGTCTGGAGCCCTGAGCAGCTGAGGCTGGCTAGGCGGGAAGAAGGAAGGGGTGGCAGGGGAGGGCGGGACACTGGGGAGAGGGGAGGGCCAGGTCATCCCACCTCTTGAGGTTTGGGTTTTTTATCCCAGGGGAGTTAGAGCCTTCAGGAGGAGGGTGAGAAGGTGGGGCAGGAGGAAGCTCGAGCGAGAATCTGGATCGAAGGATTCGAATCGCGTGCGTGTGTCTCCTTCTCCCTCCAGGTTTCCATCTCAAATGAGATAAAGATGCTCTGGCACAGGAGCCTGGGGAGACTTGATTGAGAAAATGCTGGTAAAGCCCTTAACTCAAAGCCCGGCACACAATCAGGCTCGGCCACGTGCTTTCTACTAGGAACACATGGGAGTGGTGGCGGCTCTTTTTATTCTGGAAAGGGCTCTGCTTCCCTTCCCCTGGGCTCTCACCCGGATGCGGATGCAGGGCTGGGCTGGCTGTCAATGCTGTGCTACCCTTGCGGTTCTTTGACTATTGATTGGTAGGTGATATCGTGGACCCTTTGCCTCCAGCTGGTGGCACCCCTGAGGCAGCCTAAGAGCACCATCAGGCTGCCCAGTGCTTTGGGTGGGCGGATTTTCCCCTGAAAACCGGGACCCACGGCACTTGCCCAATTGATCTTCCCAAAGGACATTGGTGCTTCTCCCACCCTCCAAAGCACCTGTGCACACGGCCCCTCCATTAGTCATGCTCACCACCCTGGTTCTCAAAGCCAAGTGTACAAAGATCGGGGTCATCCAGAGGGTATGTGAGCAGATCACATGGTATGCTCAGCCTTGTAACACAGGACCTTGCTTCCTGTATGTTTGTTCAGGCAGAACCAGGGCAGACTACATGCTAAGGGTAGTTTTAAGGGAGTAAAGGCGAAGGGTAGCCTAAGGTGGGTATGGAGCCCTGGTGGTGTAGTGGTTAAGCATTGGGCTGTGAGCAGTTTGAAACCACCAGCAGCTCCTTTGGAGAAAGACTGGGCTTCTTATTCCCCTAAATAGTTTTGGTCTCAGAAACCCCCAGTGGGGTTGCCGTGAGTCAGCACTGACTGGGTGGCAGGGAGAGTTTTGAGAAGGCGGCTGTGGGAAGGGCTCAGCATCCTGTTCCAGCAGGCTGCCATAAACGGTTGCAGAGGCAGGGGGTAGAGAGCAGGCAACACAAAACCCACTGAGAAGTCCCAGGCACCTCTCTTGCCCGAGCTCCAGAGTCTTGCAATCTCTTTCCTCTTCCCTGTAGACCAGTGTTTCCCAAAGTGGACACTACTGCCCCTGGTGGGCCCGGAAATGATCCACAGGGGCTTCCAAAGCAGATACCTATACTTTATCCTGTTTTCATGAAACCGTTTTAATTACTGGGGTGGGGGTGGGGGTTCTGAGGTTTTTTTTTCTGAAAAAGGGGTGGTAAGTCAAGTAAATGTGGGACCTTTGCTCTAGATTATTTCACTCTAGGATGGAGGATGGAGAAGGGGGCCATGGATCCCCCAAAAGGTCCTCTTGGCTACCCCGGTGGGACTCCTTTGGCTGCATGATTGTCCCAGCAACGCATGCCAGCCCCTGAGAGGAAAGCATGTCCAGCTTCAGACTTCCATTGCTGACTTAAGCTTGAAGGGCGCGCTGCACCTGCTTCCCGGAACTCATTTTGCCCCCTCTCCCGGAGCGCTCACTGCTTCCCCATCCTCCCGCCTTGCCTTCCCCTTAGTCTCTCACGTGGACACATGGACTCACTTGGCTGGCTGTGATAAGCAGAGACCACAGTGAATGTGAAGACGAGGAGGAGGAGGGCAGTCACGGAGACCTTCATCCTGCTAGTTGGGCCAGACCTTCAGGGATATCTTTCTTGCCTCTGGTCTGTTCTCCAACTGCCCAGCTCTCTGGACCCTGACCCTTTGGGGGCTGAGAGAGGAGGAGAAAGGACCGCCCTTGGACAAGGCTTTCCTGAGTGTCCTGTGGCAGGTGGGGGCGGGGCTTGGCTCAGAGGTGAATTCATGTATGCGAGTGAAGGTGAATGGGTGCTGTGTGCCAGTCACTTTGCATGCCCTGCTGGATCGAATACTCACCACAGCCCCATGGGGGAGAGGTGGCAGCCACAATTATTGCTGGCAAGGCCTCCGAGGTGTGCTGCTGTGAGCTGCTGTTATGTTGATTCCTTCCCGCGGCAACCCCTATGTCGCAGAGCAGACCCGCTCGGCAGACTTCTCTTGGCTGGGCTTGTGGGGAAGCCGATAGCAAGACCTTTCTTCTGTGGCACCGCGGGCTGGGCTTGAACCATCAACCTTCAGGGCAGTGGTCGGTGCCACCATTCGTGTCACCACCTCGGATCCTTACTGAGGCTTCCAGAAGTCACTGCCGTTGAGTCAGTTCTGACTCCTAGAGACCCTTTAGGACAGGGTAGAACTGTCTCTGTGAGTTTTCAAGACGAACTCTTTATGGGAGTCGAAAGCTTGGTCTTTCTTCCTCAGGGAAGCGCATGGTTTTTGACTGCTGACCTTGGGTTAGCCGCCCAGTGCATGACCCACTCTGCCACCAGGGACCCTTACGGGGGCTTTAGAGGTGGCACAAATTGCCAAAGGCTGTGTGGGTAGGTGGGGTGGTAGGTGTGGGGGAAGGCCAGCCCCCCACAACTCATCGTGGGCTCGACAGGTGCAATTGTACAGTTGAGATATATAAAGATTATAGTAAAATCATAGAGAATAAAGAGAGATAGAAGAGAGATTGAAATAATGGAGTCAGACACATTTCATAGTAGCATGCTAACCTCAGCTCCTCTTGGTGGTACTGGGCAGGAAATGAAAGAGAGAGAGTGAGAGAGAGAGAGAGAGAGAGAGAGAGAG